TTAATAGCTAATGTTGAATTTGCTATTATTTAAAACAGTGATTTTTGACCAATGTGGCACAAAAATTTTTGAGTTATTAAATAAATTGTTTTCAAAAGAAACCCAAAGAACAATAGGCATACATGTCAAAATTAAAACCTCTTTAAATTGATTGTACGAGTTTTTCATTCTTATAATAAATAAACGTATACATAATGTAGTAAAATATATGCACATATAATTTTGTTTATGAATATATAACACTGAGTTATTTCATTTAAAACAAAAGGCCCACCAGTGGCCAAGTGGTCTTCATTCCCTGGATTCTGGGAATTTGGTCATGGGTTTGCACCTTGCTCAGATGAGCTGGCCACCTGGAGTTTTCCGGGTTTTCTCCACCTCTGTAACGCCTAAATAGGGGCAGTTCCCCTTAAAAAGACCTCCCGGAAGGCATCCCCCTAAGCACATCGTCCAAGTGTTGTGTTGCCATAACTTAACAAACACACAATTTAAAACAAAATTTTCTTTAAATCATAAATGTATCAATAATCGTCCATTTTTAGTTTTAACTTAGAAATAGCAGGACATTGGGCAGGTTTCTAAAGGCAATTATCTTAATTTGTATTTAAAAGTGCCACTTTTAAATACAAATTAAGACTTAATGGTCATTTCTTATATAAATGAAAATTATTAATATAAATTACTATTGTTATAACCTGCTTCTATTTTAACGAACAACAATACTGTTTTATTTAATTCATCTTATTCTTATTATAGTAAGAGATGGTGCTTAACAGCTACCTCTAGCAACAAATTATTTAGTAATTTAAAAATAATTCAATATAATCCGGTAGTTGTTGGCTTATTATGTATATATAGTACATTGAGTTTATAGATGTTGGTTAATTAAATAAATGCTTACAAAAGATAAGTAATAGCAATAAAATAAATAACGAATGAAAAGAAGAGGAAAATTATAGAAAAATACAATATAATAAAATGATGTATAGTAGATTTAAAAGAAATTATATTTAATACCAGAACAGACACAATTAATTAAAAATGTTAAATTTACAAATTAAATAATTTATATTACAATGTAAAAATGTACTTATGAAAATAGAAAAAACAAAAGATTTTTAAAAACATATTGTAAATGTATAATGTAAGTTGTGATTTTAGATAATTGTGTAAAATTTACTGTGTATTAAGAGAATATTTTGATTTGTAAAGTTAAAACAGTTTCTTTTATGTTTTAACTGACGAAGGGTAGTAATAGACCGAAAATGTACATATTGGTTTTAGTGAATTTTTCAACTGAAAACTGTGGTCCGATAAGTACTTTTAAATAATAGCAAATTCAAAAGTAGCTATTAAGAATATTAATTGTGTATTTATTTTTGCATTCAAAGTACTCTCTGTTTGATTCAATGCACTTATCAAGATGTTTTTGCCATTGCTCAAAACAGTTTTTGGATTCATCAATTTTAATGCCTTTTCCATCCAGGAAAACAAAAAAAAAAAAAAAAAAAGGTTGCACGGGTCAAGATTGGGTGAAGAACAGTGGTGGTATTGTTTTTTTGGCCAAAAACTGCCTAACACTGTGTGGTATGGACGGTAGCATTGTCACGGTGGAAAGTGCAGTCACCCGTTTGCCATAACTGGAGCCGTTTCTTCCACAAATCTTGATGCAACTGTTTCAAAACTTTCAGGTCAAATGATTAACTAAATTCTGAATGCACAATCTCTCTCACAACAGCAGTTATAAATAGCAAAATACATTGGAGAAGTTTCAAAAAAAGTTTACTGTTGCAAAATGTTTTCTCTTACAACAATGCCATCTAGTAAATTGATGAAGATGGATTCATTGAATACTCACCTAGTGTGTGTGAAGCTTGTACTAGAAGCCCACCATCCAGAAGAGAATCCTGGTTGTTTTGGGTCTGCCTATGTACAATAACTTAAGTTTTAATGGCAAATCATATCACCATAAAGGCACTCAAAACGAGCTTAAAATTAAACACTCATTAGTAACAAAGTTTATTTAGAGTGATACGATCGTTGAGTAGTGCAGCCAAAAATGTCTATTATTGATGCGTAACGTCATGTCGTCTATTTGTGAGGACTCAATATAAGACACCATCGATTGTAAGATGCAAAAATAAGTTAAATAATGCATCTTAGAATCAAGGAAGTACAAAATTCTCATTAAATATAATTAAAATACTTTTTTATAATGTCAATATTTTCTTTTCTTCAAATTTTCTCAGAAATCCTTATTTTAGATACATTAATCTGCATGTATATTTATAATTATTCGTTAAAATTTAATTTCAGGAGAGGGCCGGTACAATACAAATTTCATGCCATGTACGAATTGGATAATTTGGCCGTCGTAAACGTCAAAGAAGATCCTAGTAAGATTTTCAAAAAGTTTTATTGTTTGTTTATAGTTTAAATTATTTTCTACCGTACTAAGTAGATTTTAAAATTTTATTTCTAATATTTTAATAAAAATATCAGACATTAAAACAGAACAGTATCTAATACAATAAAACTACATTAGCCTCATTGACTGACTGACATGAAATGTTTGAATAGAAACGGACTTCTTACAGAAAACAAAACATTTTATGTACTGCGAGAAGTCAAAGTTTGATCCTTGATGCCTATTTTTAACGACTCCACATTTGCATTGCAAAATGCCCGAGTTCTACCATCAAAAAGTGATGAAAGACAAAGTTTCTGAAGATTATATACAGAGTGCATAGTAAAGTAGACACTGATGTGTGGGTGACATACAACACACAGTAATGAATACAGTACAAAGACATATAACACGTATTTCTCATTTTCTTATTTGAATACAGAGTACGTGAGAAATGTGCATTTTACGCTTTCTATTCACTCTATTCATATATGGTGAAAGCCCTTTCATAGTAAATCAGTCACACACATTACAAGTTTATAATTGACTTCTTTTTCCCATATTGTGCTAACTTCTGGATTTTACTGCTAGGGGCACTGCAAGCAATCTTGTTTTTTTAGCACATACTTTACTATAATAGCTAGTTGTGAACATGATGTATTATCTGTATTTGTCAGTTACAAAGGTGTATTTGATTTATAAAGTTAAAAGAAATTGTTTTATGTTTTATCTGACAACTGACTGCATATCTCATATGTAAATGTAAATGTATTAGAAGCTTGTAAAAGGCTCATACAGTAGAGCATCAACTATCCGAATCAATTGGAGACTAGGGTTGTTCGGAAAATCGATTTTTCGGATAGCCGATTATGTACGAAAAAATATATTAACCTATCCCATGTTGAAATTTGTTCAAATCCTGGCACATCCTTAAGTTCGCTCTCATGGTCGCACAACTGCTGCCAGCTAAAACACGCACACCAAAAAATAATATTGGAGTAGCCCAAGACATAGCCGAAGATTGCAGTGCCATAGCACTAGCGGAAATTTAAATTTGCCGACTGGAAAGCTTTCGGTTAATTGACGTTTCGGTTGATCGATGCTCTACTGTAATTCAATATTAATTTTAGAAGAAATTATCTATATCCAAATCTTATTAAGTTTTGTAAATAAGTCATAAAAATTAATTGCTTTTTAATTTATCAGTTTAATCATATTTTTAATTAATTAAATTGGAATAATTTAGTTTTTCTATTATTTATTTAAAGATTTAAAGAATGCTTTCAAGGTCTTAATGTTTCCCGACACTAGATTATTTCAGTGCGATACCGCTCAGATGAAGGTACGTGCAACAGAAATTTTAGTATTTCTTCTTACGAAATTCTAATAGTTATTTACGACACAGAAGGAATGGTTGGCTCTGATCGAACAAACTAAAAAGAAGAAATCTTCGTCTGCAAATTTAAAACTGGATAATATTAGATCGAATAGTTTGAATCCTTTCGACGGTATGTTGAATTTTTATGAAATTCATTGTAAATATGATCTAATTACTGTACCCATAAAGATATTTTTTCAAAACTCTTGGCTCCTTTACTTCCTAATTTGTATTGGTGAAATGTATTTTTAAAAGTTAGAACTGTTTCAGTAATTCTTTAATTGCAAGATTTTTAGTAAAGTTCCAAGACAAAATTTGAGCGAAATTCTGTAGCATACGCACACCTCATTTCACTCAAATGTTTTGTAACCATGGACTGAGCATTAATATATGTAAATAACAGAAAACTTTACTACAAAAGGAATCGTGTCAAAATTCTATTTAGTCTTCAAGTTATTCGTGGCTTCTAATATTGTAAAAAATGAGTTAAGAATTTATTAGGGCATTTAATCATATTAATACAAAGGGATAGAAACAAATGCAAGCTGATTAGCATGTGTTTAATATAAAGTCTGGCAGACGAGCCTGGTGTTGCTCGGGCAAAGATTAAGATTATTTTGTATTTCTAAACCTTGTACTATAGTATTTGATTTATATTTACAAAGGTTATCTATCTCACATAAGTTTATCACACCGAGTGCCCAATCTAACACATTTTAAAAATTCTCTAAATTGTGTACAGTAGAGGAATAAAGAATTTTAAAAATGTTAGATTGGTCACTCAGTGTGATAAACATTTATAGTTATAGCTGATCTTACCCGTTTTCACTGGGTGCAAGAATTAGGTCCCCCCCCTCCCAAGCCAAATAAAAAAGTTTTTAGATGGGTCTAAAAATATGTTCGATTTCCTGCAAAAACAAAATCTAAAATAGTACAGTAGAAGCCGAGTTCTTCAGGGTAATCCTTAACGCTCTCCCCTACGGGGTAATTTCTGAAAATCCCTTCTTAGTGTATATTCTCTTGACATATCCTAACTATGTATTCCAAATTTCAACTTTCAACTCCTAACGTGTTTGGGCTCTGCTCTACTAAAATTTTGGAATAAGAACAAGTTAACCATTAGTTAAAATTGGAATTCCGTCAAACCCATTTTGATATTTTTAGATCAGGAAGATTTAGAAGAAACGGATCCAGAACTTCCAGAGTGGTTGCTGGAATTACCGGAAGACTTAGACGTATGCATTGCGCAACGGGATTTTGAGGAAGCAGTTAAATTAGTGAAGAAAGGTATTTTCTGTTCTGATAATTAGCCTAAACATTATTATTATTATTATTATGAAAAATATTCTATTTTTGTTTTTTTTTTTTTAGCGTACGGCCATTTTGCGGCATTTCCAAAAAATGTTTCTCTGAAAGAAATGAGGTGAGAAGCCAACTAAATTAGATTAATTTTTCTTTCACGATTTTAAGAAAGTCTTTGATCACTTTGTTTGTTTACAGAATACGAATTGATCAAAGAAAAAAGAATTTAGTAGACATTCTCATGAAGGAGCTACACGTATCGCCAGACTGTTCCTTTCAAGCTGGTCCCAGAACGGCCAGAAGAGCAGTTTCGTTATTAATAAGCTTAGGAAAATCATCTCAAGTACATTTTTTTAAACCAAAATAAAAATTACAAGCAAAAGTATTGTGCTAAAATGATTCCGTAATTTCAGGCATGTGACTTATTTCTAAAGCACTGCACTGCAATTTTGAAACATTCCATGAAACAGCAGAAAATGGATGGTGCTACGGCCCCTTACATCAGACGTCTCTGTGTTATTTTTTTCAACAACATAATAGAAGCCGGTAAAGAATTTAGTGGGGCATTTAGTAACAAGAATAGTTGTGCATCAGGTAATTTATACTTTGCTGTATTTATTAACACTTTCTCAGTTTCCTGTGTACAAAAGTTGTAAACACAGAACTGAGTCTCAGTGTTATTTAGTGTAGTATTTAGGGCTCTTTCAGGCAGTACACTAGTCTTCAGGAGACTGACTTGTATAGACTGGTGAAGGAAGATTTATGACAGCCATCTGTTATCATTGACATTTTCATAGTAGCAAAGGACAATATGGGTGGATCCATTTTATTGTTGTATTTGGCAGATCCCAAATAATAGTTGGAAGTAGCCATCACAACCCGTTTCCCATCCGAAGACTCTAATATAACTATGATAAAGGAGTCTTCCCAAAATCTTGCAGTCTTGGAGAATGCGAGGGATTTGCATTCAGTCTCTAGTACCTTCTTGGTGATAATCTACTGTCCAAAACAACTATTTAATCACTGAAAGATCTCTCTCACAGAATTTAAGCTGAAGTTTTGTGACATCTGAAACTTCAAAAATGACCTTATTTGACATATAATTGTATGTACAGTACAAAACAAAATAACTCTTTCAAAACAGACTTTCATTCTGTTCCAATCTTTAAATTACTGAGGTTAATTAGAAAGAATTGAAGTAGAAGTTGAATCAACAGTTAACATAGATCTAGAAGGGGTTAAAGTCTGTGCAAAGCCATTTGGAAGAATTGAAATTCTTTGCATAAATTTACCTAACAATACATTACAATATGTATTATTACAACTGAAATAAGCTAATTGATTTTACTCATATTTTGGAATTTTATATATTTATTCAACTCTCCCATTCATTTATAGCTTTTCTAACAATATATATATTGTTAGAAAAGCTATAAATGAATAGGAGAGTTGAATTTGTGATTAGAATTTTCCAGTGTTTTATACGTGGTTTGAGACGCACAGTTATTATTTAATTATTTTGTCACATGTTTGTAGTACCATTAACGTTTAAAATAATAAATTCAAAATTTTTGCAGCATTTGTTATCTGGTCTGTAATCCAGTTGCAGCAATTTGTGCAGACGTTCACCCGCCACGTCTTCACTCCTCAAGTTGCGCTGTCAGCAGTTTCGGCCGAATGCATCTCTCTGATAAGAAGTCACTGTGAACAAGTATTCTCGAATTTCATTTAATAACCTTTCTTTGTTTATTTACTTTTTTCTAAAGTATCCTTTTCTTTTCTAGTTAACAGATATCGGTCTGGATCTGTCATCTCTACTAGATAATTTACTGCAATCCGACATCGAACGAATAATCAAAGAGAGCAAAGATAAATTGTTAGAAGCGATAAATGTCCGTGCAGTGGAAGACAAGTGGCGCAAGCAAAACCATCAAAATAAAGCCGGAGTTATGAAATTCGTCGACGACATGGCAGATCTCGGAATAACCAACGTCCATAATTACGTGGAAAGTAAGTATACGGATATGGAAAAGTTGTTTTCCGACTTAAGATTAAAAATAACTGTTTCGACAGACGAATGTTTCGTGACGTTGACCACCAACACCACGGCATTCAGCAAAGCTTACTTAAACTTCGTCGACAATTTATTAAAAATATACGCTCCCTCTGTCTGCAACTTAATTTCCGAAGCACTGTATGTCACCTTCAGAGCCCAGCTGCAGCATATAGAAAATTCCATACGTGACTCGAGATATTCAAATGACGTAAGAACCCCTTTATATGTTAAAGATGCATCCTTTTTCCAAATTAATTGGGCCGATATTCATTTCAGATCATTCAAGTGAACATGGAATTCCTGTTGTCTACCTTACTGAATTTTGCCAAAGCTCAGTATAAGGAGAAGTTGAACAAGGATTGTTCCAGTCTGGCAAAATTGCAACACGAGCTGCCTCGCTTGTTAAATCTCATCAACAGCACGAACGGTAAACACGTTGTGAAGCAATCGAGGCACGCGTACGTGTGATTGTCTTTTTCAAATTAAATTCCACGTTTATATATAATATATAAGTTCATTAGTTTAATTGCACATATTTTCTACATACATTCTTTGTACATTGTACATACAATAAAATTATTATTGCAAATGGAATTTTTATAATGTTTAATTTTGTGCTGCTAACTCTTGTTCCACTAGTTTCCTGTACTGTGAAAATCCACCGCTTATGCTGGTGACAGAACCATTGCTGCACACCCACAGCTCTTTACAAACCAGTTCAATTAGCTGTTGGTCATGGGAAACGAGAACTAACCCACCCTATAAGGATAAAATTTTATGGTAATGAGCATTATCTTTGTGAACGTATTGAAAAATGTTAGTACCTTATATTTATTGAGAGCGTCGCCGAGTGCTTCGACCGTTTCTACGTCCAGATGATTTGTCGGTTCGTCCAACACAAGGAAGTGAGGGCTGGTAATATAGGAAAAATTTGTTACCATTATGGACATTTTAAAACAGAAGCTCTGTTTACACTCTTGTACAAACCACTACGAATGAACGAAATACTGTCTGCACCACGTGATTGGCTGTAAAATTGAGATATTCTCTTGATAGAAGGGGGCAAACCGTCACTTTGTAGTGGTTTGTACACCAGCTTTAAACTTACTTTGGTACGGACATGGCCGCAAAAGCAACGCGACTTTTCTGTCCCCCCGAGAGACTGGCTACAGACTGTAGAGCCAAGTCGCCGCTTATTCCAAATCTTCCCAGCTGACGTCTGTATTCTTCGACTGGTTTCCCTGTATTACAAAATTGGGATTTGCATTATGTATTAGAAGTTATATGAGAAGGGTAAAGTGGCGTAAAATATAAACCTGGAAATTTCTTTGCTAGGAATTCTACGGATGACAGATTCATGTCAAGTTGATCAACGTGATGCTGCGTAAAATAACCAATAACTAAATTTCTGTGAGCGTGTCTAATTCCCTTTGTGGGATCCAGCTCATTCGTCAATAGCTTCAGTAATGTCGTCTTGCCCGACCCGTTATCTCCGACCTGCAAATGAGTAAGATGGTAATTAATGAACATTTTCGCAACGTGTTCTGTAATTCGATAAACTTACAATGCAAATTCTAGACTCCATATTAGCCGAAAGGTTAACGTTCCTGAGAACAGGTTGACCTTCGACATAAGAAAATGAAACATCGTCTAACTGAAGAATGGGAGGGGAGAGTGCTTCTGGATCTGTAAATCTAAGGGTCACCTGTGCTTCCTTAGTAACCGGTTTTACTTCTGGCCTGGTGACAAAAAATTGTTTTATTTTTTAATAAAAATAAATAAATTAATCGAGTTAAAAATATTGAAGATCTACTTACAATTTTTCCAGCATTTTAATTTTGCTCTGAACTAGAGATGCTCTCTTGGCATTATATCGAAACTTATCAATAAATACCTGTAAAGTATACAGTATCTTTTTAAATGTCTATTGACAAATCAATTGATGCAATTATTTCTCAGATTGATAATCAAGGCTTGATGGAAAAACACACAAACTGTCTAAATTCGGGCCAAATCATTAATCGGCCATGCTGTTGTGACATATACTATGTTTCCAAGTATTTGGACACCCCCAAAACTCCACCTCACCTCACCTCACCTATACATGCTACGTAAGCAAAAGCATGAGTGCATTAACAGTGTAGACAGTGTTCTCTCAGAACTGGTGAATGTGAAAAGTCAAGCCATTGAAACGTGGTACGACAGTCAGAGCCCTTAAGTTTGGTCAGCTGACTTGAAGGGATTTTCACGCACTTTGGTCTGCTGTCGGTGAGATTATCATCAGATGGAAACACTGCAGAAAAACCAAATCATCAAAAACTGACAGGCACAAAAGTGCGCCAATTCCAATCTATAACCAAACAAAATTGCCAGACGTACTTTTACGATTACAAACTATTTCTGTACGAGCTTGCACATGGGAGGAACGAAAATGAATTCTGGCAGCAGTTTACCGGAACTAATAAGGAGAGGGCTAGATGTTCGGGTCTCTGATTTGAACAAAATGTGGTGAGCACATAGACCTAAACGTAAATGGCACTACGTCCACTTTAATAGGATCCACTTTTCAAGCATTTCTGAAAAACAAGCCTATGAAAACAGTGTGTTTAATTTTTAAGTTTTCTTGTAACGGCAATAGCCAAATGGATAAAACGCTGTGCACTGGAGTTGCACAATGTTCAAACTTTCTTAGAATAATTTTGTTACATATAATAATAATACTTTGTTCTTACTATTATTATTTTGCATGTTTAAAGCTTATAAAAAAACATTTTCGCTTGTGGTTACATACTCTGTCAACAGAAGCAAATAAGCTTTAGACATTACTGCAGACGAACAAAAAGACAAGCCTGGTATGAAAATAGGGTAGAATAGTTGCAGCATTTTTTTAATTGTTAATGTTACGGACAATTTCCTCGTGCTCACGTTTGCTACACTGCAAATATAACAATACCGCAATATCTAAAAAATATGAAGATATTCAAGAGTTAAATCTACAGAGACTTTGTTTTTGCTAAACGGCAAATGATGCCATGTTTTTTAAGCTTGTTTTATAAGCTTTAAATGTGAGGAATGATGATAGAATAATTTTGTTACACACACAAACTAAACACTCGATTCAAACGTTTTGGAAATACTCAAGAGGTGGGTCCTATTATTTGAATTGGCATCTGTTTGCATTTAGGGCTACAGGCTCACAGAGTTTTATTTGAAACGGAGACCCAAATGTTTGGCTCTCTACTCGTAAGATGAAATTCTACCTGACAAATAATTAATAGCAACAACAGCAATAAGAAACACCAGATGATGTCTAAAAACTCTTGGCAACATAGGACATGTACCAGTACACAGTGTACAATATTATATACATCGAGTTAATCTGTTAATTAATCAGTATGCTAAAGTCTTGTACATCAACTGTATTTTGTTCAAGAACCAGACCGACTAATTTGTCGGCATGAGATGTGAGTCCATTAAGGCCGTGTGGCCAATCATTAGGGATGGGGGTGATGCTCTGTTCTGTGAAGATTACAAAGATTGGATCGAGCTCAGTTCCTTCCCCCTCAGAAAAATGCAATTCATACACTGGGATGTGCTTTTCGAGTGTATACTAACGAGAATCGAAAACTAAAATGCTTACTTGGACGTGAGCTCTGTACTGCTGTTGAGCTTCGTACTCTCGCTGTTGACACTTGAGTTTCTCGGTCATGGCCTTCACAAAGTTTTCGTAATTACCTCTGTAGGCGTCCATGCGTTGGGAATGAAAGTGGATTATGTCGGTCGGCACCGTGTCGAGGAATTTCCGATCGTGCGAGACAACTAATAGAGTAGTCGGCCAATTCTAAGAGAGGCCACGTTATTGTTTTAAATTTAAATTGTTATTTTCGATAAATTGCAACTTTACTTACTTGCAAATAATTTTCCAACCATATAATGGCTTTCATATCCAACATGTTCGTGGGTTCTGAAAAATAAAAATTGTAACGAGTTAACTGCAAATTCAAAAATGGTCGAAATAGTTAATACCGATCCAATTATAAGGTCTCAAACACGAAAGATTTACAGAGTTATTGTCCTAATTGTTAAACGTGTCTTAAATTCTAGCAAGGAAGAAATCGAAATTTTCTCGGTTGAGATGAGGGAGATCTTGTTGAAGTGTAGATGTAAAGAGCAATTTGAAGGTGTTTATATTTGAATGAGAGAAGGAATGAATATATAAATGAGTCATAAAGTACTTTATCCCTTCTTTGTATGGTAGAATTATGAAATAACAGATTTTTTTTTTCTCCAGGTCCTTCCAAATCAATGTAATTTTACCTCTTTAGCAGATCCATAACTTGGAATAACAGATTTTTTTCTAGCTCCATCTTCGGTAAACATCGTATTTTTTCAATCTTTAATTAATAATTGGATATTTCCGGATACCAAATTATAAAAAAATACATTGCACGCTGTGAAAACTAAATACGTAACAGTCACTGTTTTCACTGCTAACGTTGCAGCCACGCATTAGTGCCCTCCTGTAGCGCATTCATTAGTGGAGGGAAATTACTTTCGATTTAACACTTTCAGATATGCATGTGTATGCAACAAAGGTGCAGCAAACCTTTGTTCCAGACACATGTTCATGACACGTAGAATTCATATACTAGTTACTACTTACCATCAAGTAACAATAGGTCAGGCCTGAAAAATGCAAATTACATTTCATTTTCAGTGCTTTAATTACATTTTTTAAAGTAATTTTATAAATTTTACAGAACTTACTTTGAAAACAATGCTCTGGCAAGAGCTATCCTCATTCTCCATCCACCAGAAAATTCCCTGCGGAGATTAAACATGATTATTCTTGTATTATCCTCACATAATGCATGTTAACTAATGCAAAAATAGAATACCTCGTTGCAGTCTGTTGCATTTTAGGAGTGAAGCCTAACCCCGCCAGTATGACGGATGCACGTGCAGGAGCCTTGTCGGCTTCGATCTGTTGCAACTGGGCGTAAACTTCTGCTAGACGGGCATTCATATCGATTTCTTCCGACTCCCTGTTAGATATTTTTACTCAAATTTAGTCATTTACCGAAAGTCGAAGTGACTAAATACTTTTATTTACCCGATATTATGAATCTTAGCAGTCAGTTCTTTCTCCTCCTTTAACAAACTTTGTCTCTCTTCGTCACACTGTAGAACGCTTTCTAACGCTGTCGTATCGTCGCCCACGACTTCTTGTTCGACGTGAAGTATCGATATATGAGAAGGTATCTTTAGATGGCCGCTGCAAAAGTTAATAAATTTAGTCTCTCGACTTTAAGTTACATTATTTTATTTTTAAAATATATCTTATTTACCCTGAAATCATTCTCAATAAGGTACTTTTTCCTATTCCATTCCTTCCAACCATACCGTATCTTCTACCATAAACTAGAGTTAGATCGGCTCCTAACAATAATACCCTGAAAAATAATTATACATTTGTATTCTTTTATATATATATTCTTCATATATATATATATAAATTGCTTACTTATCACCAAATGCTACATCAAAATTGCTGATTTTAATGTCTTTACTCCTGTTGTTTCCTTTAGCTTCTAATTTATTGTCTTTCTTGCTCATCGCTTGGACTGCTGTAGCAGCTTTATTGATGTACTGAGTGCTAGAATAATAAAGAATTTGTTTATATGTAACACTTATGTATCTTAAAATAATATTTTCCAAACTGAAAACCAATTATTAAAATTTTGGATAACTGTGCACGAAGAAGAAGTCAATCAAGCAAGTTATTATTGACTTTTTCCTTTGGAATTTATCAAGAATATTTTAATAATACAAATCTTATTGGAAGTAACAGTTTAGAATGTTTATCCTTTATTTTTGCTGGTAACCAAGTAGTGAAAGTCTGTCTGATTGTCTGTGTTGGATTTTCAACAGCATAAACTCAGTAATAAATAAAAAATGGGTGTTATTTTGAATTATTTTGTGTTTCTGTACCATATGTCAAAAACTTTTTATACAATAAAGGGCCGTACAACACCATTTTGTGCAAATTCTACATATGTAAATAAAATATAAATACGTAGTATGATCCAAAAGTTCGGGGACTTTGCTTAAAATTCCTTACCTTAAAAAGTTTATATTGCCAATGCACAACCACCTTCAAAGTAATCACCTTGGGCAACGATACACTTTTGCCAGTGCTCATATAACTTCTGGAAGCACTGCTGAAAGCCATTTTTTGAAACCTCCCGTAAGGTCTCCTGCGATGCTGCTCTCACCTCATCTGATGACACAAAACGGCATCCCTGCAAATGCTTTTTCATTAATGGAAACAAACAAAAATCACATGGGGCTAAGTCCGGTGAATAGGTGAAATGTGGAAGCACATTAATTTGAGATTTGGCGAGAAACTGTGTGACCATTTGGGACCGATGTGCAGGTACGTTGTCATGCAGAAGGTACCAGTCTCCACTTCGCCAGATCTGCGGCCGTTTACGACGAATGGATTCCCACAAATGACGTAAAATGTCTAGATAATTGAGAGACCAACTCAACATTTTCCTCATTCCATGAAGTCGAAGGTCGGCCAGAGCATTCATCATCTGCGATGGATTCTCGGCCCTCTTTAAACCTTTGATTTCACCATGGTAGAATCACCGCACACCTTTCTTAGCAATTTTAAAGTCTTCATAGATGTTTTACCTAAACGCTGACAAAATTTAATGTTGCAGCGTTGTTCTTGAAACTCCATTTTTATTACGTCGCAAAACAAAGGTAACTATCTCCGAAAAAAAAAAAAAAACAACAGCACTCGTGGTTTAATCATGTGACAGGGGCGAAATCAACCTGAACACGTAGGGGTGGTTTGATAAAATCCATTTCATACGCTGTAACTTTAAATACATACTTTTGTTGTCATACATTATTGCAGTCCTCAAACTTTTGGATCATACCATGTACTACATATCAGCAGTTCCCAATCAGCAAGTTGCACAAGCTGTAGAATTGTGCAGTTCCTGCAGATTACTTGTGTTGCACAATCAGGAAAAATTTAGACTTTGTAAACTGCAGAACATATAACACCTTCTCTGCCAGGGAATTGCCATTTATGTTTATAGTACTTCCTAGAGGTAGTAGACGACAAAAACATTTGAATGCAGATGGGTCACTCTATCAATTGGCGTGTGTTGCGTACTTCTCAAATAATAATTAACTTGGTTACAGTAATTTAAAATGGTAGCATTCATTTCGGACTTCGTACTTAAGACTTCATTCAAGATTTCAAAATCATTATATCATGGAACAGGCCTTTTAATTCCAGCAGTATTTTAATATAATTCAAAGTTCATAATTCAAAAATATATTTCCAATGCTGTGGAAAGACTGCCTGCATCTCAAATTTAAATGATAAAAATATGTAAAGCTTGGGAAAAAAAATCATTTAAATTTTAGAGATGCAGACGGTCTTTGACTTGACGTAAACCTTGACACTTACGACCTATTATTTATTTTTATTTATTTATTTATGTTTCATTTATTTTAAATGTTAAATTTTAATTATCAAATTTAGCGAGGTTGCGGCCGAAGTTTTAAATGCAAAAATGTGTATGTCGGACGTTCAGCGCCACTTTCCTGTAAGCCTAGAAGTTTGGCAATGGTGTTTGGAACGTCGAGCATGATTCCACTGACTATCTAAACACCATTGTCAAACTTCTAGGCTTATAGGAAAGCGATGCTGAATGTCTGATGTACATGTTTTCGCATTTAAAACTTCAGCCTCAACCTCGCTTTTATTTTGTTTTTAAATGATGTGTTTCATTATAAAACCATTTTACATTCCAATATACCTTGGAATGCAAAACCTTTGAGAATATTTTGATTTCAAAATCTTAATAATACATTAAAAAAATAAAACTTAATTACCCAACAGTTGTCTTTTCAACATTTTCTCTCTTCTCTTGCTTTTGCTTTAGTCTTGCTTCTGCTTTTCCAAGTTTCTTCTGATCTACCAACTGGAAATTTTAATAAAATAAAATTTATCTATGATATTTCTCTTAATTAAATTAATGTAATACATTTAGATAAAGTATAAACAACGTACGGCAGCGTTTTTTGATGGGAAATTCACTTTACATTAAAATTTTTATGTATATGCTAGACAATCAAATGAAAGAACTCGGAAAAAATAGTGCAAAGCACCCTACATATCCTGAGTTAACGTCATCCGACCGATTTCACATGCGCCGTTGACTCACGAGCATAGTATGAACTCATTATTGTTATTTAATTAAGTGTTTTCGGTAACTGAAAATGCCTTACACTACAGCTCAGAAAGTCTCCGTGTTAGGGAGCTGCATAAAGAAGAAAAGTTACCGAAAATTAACATTATACAAACCAATTGACTTATTTCAAATTTGTCAAATGATTTACCAGGCTATGTATCGGGCTATATCGAGGCTAGTAAATAATTAGATATAAATCAATTTGGCTAGAAGTAGGCGGTTATGCCATCATCTTGTGGTAAATTTATTGATTTAATTGACATCCGAAAACCTTATTCTCCTTTCTTTTCCATTAGACATATGTAGATAGTAGCAATAGTTCTTACTTTACAGAAAAGCAGGAAAAAAATTGTTTTATAAATGATAGATTACACACAAAAACTATCGGTTGAAAGCCCAAATTCTAAAAAATAAAGAGCAAACAAACTTATAATTAAATAATCTATATTATAAAACAAATAAATGATCTGTACCGATATGGGATCCCTCTGCTTCATCCAAATACTTTTAACTTCTTCGGATCTAGTTTCAAATTCTTCTGCCATTTTCCCGAGATGGATGGGGGCGTTAAGAATTTTATGCTCCGTTTCTTCGTTACCTCCGTCCGATTCACTTAATTAAAAAATATAATTTGTTTAAAAATAAATTGGTAACAATTATAAACAAAGTACACTTGAGTAGTTTTTGTTTATACTCCACAAAACAGTCACACTCTTTAACCAAAATTTATTTTTAGGTAAAACTATATTTTAGCTTTGAGTTAGTTATAAAGTATTGAGTAATTGGATGGAGAAGGAGGGATGTAATTCAACATGTTCCAATCAAATCATCCATAAATCTTCTGAATCCAACCTGAATGTACAGTCATGAGTCACGAGTATCAACGCAAATGTGTTGGAAGTATCACGTGTCACAAACTCATTCAATGAATGGTCTTACCAAATGAGTTGTTACCATGAGACACATGGTAACAACTCATTTGGTAAGACCATTCATTGAATGAGTTATTATTGTATTGCTCAACACGTTAGTATTGCTACTCGTGTAACTCAAGACTTGGCATCCCGGACTCGAGCTTGGATCATTCAGAGCAGCACATCGATGCCTTTACTGCTTCGATCGTCTAGAAAAGTCCGACATACACCTCGATATATCTTTGATTGACGTTTAAATTAAAGCAAAATCAAGATGCAATAATATATAATTTTGTTTATAGCTGATATCAATTTAATTCAAACAGACTAAAGTTACAAATTATATATGCTTATTAAATATTTTACATTTAGCAATGTCAAATCTAAAGCTGGCTACACCAACAGAATTTAACTTCACATTTTGTGTTAATTTATTAAAATATATGATAATCGTTACTGCTGTTCTAGTCTATAAAATGGCTCAGAATAAATCCAACAATGGTTATGTTTGATATTAATTCCAAATTAAACAAAGAATAAGAATAAGCTATCAATATTATGAAAAGAGCAATGATGGGAATTTGGATTTCAAATGGAAAATAACAAAACAATGGAGACGGGATGTGTCAAAAGAACAAAGGATAATAGATGAACAAAGAGAGTAAACACCAGGAGGTCTGCATCATGTCGTAAATAATTATGGCTGATGATAAAATATAATTATCGGGTCTTTCAAAAAGAAAATTACTATTTTAGATTATTCTAATTATGTTAATTATCACCCAAGAATGCCTTAATGTACATTAAAACATTATAAAAATGCCCAAGTTTCGCATTTGTCATTACAATTTCACGACATGTGCATTTTGTGTTACACAGCACACTTCCAACCAAATTCTTCTTATGCTTGCTACGACATATCCGTCGTCATTCCTCCCACGGCAGCAACAATCCTACAGCTCCTGCAGATTACTCGTGTTGCACGACAACGAGCAATTCTGATTTTTTGAACTGCAGAACAAAATGCCTTCTCTGTTGTGGAGTCATCATTTTTGTTTATGGCATTTTCTATGCAGAAGGAAAACAAAACTCAGACGGTTGTTCAATCAACCGTCCAAGTTTTGTTTTCCTTCTGCATTCAAATATCTCATCTACTACCTCTAGAAAGTGCTGTAAACAAAAATGATTGGTATATGTTGCCTTTCTCATGGTTTTGGATCAATGTTGCCTTCTATTTCTTCTGTGTGAAGTAATATCAGAAGGGTCACGAGGAAGATTGAAAACGGAGAAAGAGAAGAAGCAGGAGTAAAGCGAGAGAAAAATCTCAGAAAAGGAAGATTTGAGAGAAGATCCCATAGAAGGGCATCAAAGGTATAAATATAGTAAGATATTATTAAAATCTATAATAAAATAGTTCTTAAAAACATTTTAATACAATAAATACAATTGCAATATCAGTTCACTTACAGCTTCACTGCTTTTAATAACTTCTCACAAATGTCTATAATTTCAGTTTTGTCCTTGCTGCCGGCACTAATTTCGTGTAACATTTCGCCGAGAGCGTCGTAAACTTCTTCTGAAGATTGAAAATCATCTTTGCTGCCATCTAAAACTCCTATTAAATAAAAATAAAATTAAAATATTGAATAATCATTTCTAATAAGAACATTTTTGTCATATTTCAAGCATAAATTGTGGCAGAAAAACCTGTAGGAGCATACCTATAGCTTAACGCAAAAAAACTGAGATACTATGCATATTTTAGACTGCGCAATAAGAGTATACACAGACTACTTTATAACAGAAGTATATTAAAAGCATACTCACACCCTTCATGCATATGTCCTACGATAAATATTCCATTCTGGTATTGAATAGTTGCATTTAGGTTCTTGGTTAGAAGTGACAAATTGTATAGTATAAGGTAGAAAAATTCAGAGTATGTACAGCATATTGTTAATATAGAGAATTGAACAATTTATTATATACAGACATCCCTTGATTAACATGGTAGTAAATTTCGGACTGTGCCATCCCGATTCACGGATTTGTGGTCTGCCAGAAAGATCATTTTATGACCCATTTATCTCAGATCAAGTCCATTTATTTTACAACTATTTACAGTATATACAACAATAATTCTGGATGGCTACCATACGACATAGTGTTTCACTTTTCTTTTCTCCTCTCCTACGAGTCAAGTTGCCTTTTATCCAACTTTGAGATTTGTTGGCCATCCAACCTGGAGCTGGGTCAGTAGATTTCCTTTGGGTCCACCTCGACCCAATTTGTTGGTTGGGGTGACTCACACTGACTGAAATCCTCCGGAAAAACGGGTTCCTTCAAGTGGAAACCTTAATCTCTGTCTCTACTCATTATGCCTCTTTGACAACGGTTAATTAATTCCTTGATGCTATCACATATATCAAAATTGCATTACTCAAATACGATACCTACGTTAAGTAAAGACAGCCACATTAATTAAACCTTCTGCTGCATATATAAAGGGATTGTCGCAATTAATTTCTAACGTTAAGCAAGATATACCCGTATATAATTTTTGCGATAATCACGTCTCTATGGCTATCAAACAGTAATTTACAAAATGAAAACATTTGATAAGGACTGTTGTTTTCGACTTATCAGTTCTTATAGGAAACTCAGTAAATTAATCATCACAATGCTGTTTCAGGACCAACTATATAAACTTATATCTTAGACTTAATTATCATAAAAACACCAGTAGATAACTCTTCTATCTGGACATTTTTTTTAAAATTCTTTCCATCCAGTGGGCACTAAGAGGGCCTCTTTTAGCAAGCCCATTATGGGTTCGGTCAGGTGATGAGGAACGGGGCCCAACATATCCGAGCGGACCACCCCCGAAAAATTCCTGGGGATTTTTTGACCCGTCTGGATTCGATCCAGGGTCCCCCAGAGCGGTAGGCTGCAACCTTGACTGCTCGGCTGGCCTTCTATCTGGACTGAAATGCCACTAAACCAAGAAACATGATAATTTTTCTCATACCTTAGGAATATATATAATGAATTTCTATAAATTAGTTGACTACATGCAACTTTCTCTTTACAAATTTCATTTTTGAAATATGAGATATACTGTCTTTGATTAAATATGCTATTCAGCAAAAATTCAGCAGTGTAAATGCTTTATTATACTGACAAACATTTTCAACAGTCTTAAATGGTCATCATCTGGTTTTAACTTGGTGAATAGAAATTGTAATTAGAACAAAATTTAAAAAAAAATGGTGTTATTGACGTGGCAGTGCGCACAACTGATCACATGTAAGTAACAAAATGTAAAAACATTCCACACCAAACATTAATACAGGAATTAACTACAAAACTGTCTTTTAGCATTATAGAAGTCTCAACTTTGTATGCTATGTTATTTTTATTGGCAGTGCCACTAACCTTATTTGTTAAATCTGCCTCAAAGACATGGGCATAACATAAGTTTAGATACAGAAAGAACACGATGTCAGATTGTGACTTTTGAGTACCGAGATTCTAAGGAACAATGTAACCTGGCCGTGCAACCTTAACAATCTCTTAAGCATTAAAGAAATCTTGATAGATTTTGCCACTGGCTAAGACTTTCCACGGGCTAACCACAGATGTGTATTAGAAGCCACAGGGCTTCTAACACATCCGTGACCTTGTCTTCACTGCTGTGAACTTTTACCTCAGCTGTATTTGTTAGTGTATATTTTTTATATCTTTATGTACATATGTTCTTGTACTTTTTATATTATATCATGTATATGTATATACTATATCCTTATTATATGTTTATTTCTACATGTATCTTGTTATGATCATTTATAACTTACGTATCTTTTGTTTTTACTACATTATATTACTCATGTGAACTAACTGAACTGTGACTTCTGTATGTAAATTTAATTATTAAAATAACAAAATAAGAAGTCAAATTTTATCCAATACTTATATAATACCACATGTTGACAATAAAGCAAATTTTTCTACAGTTCCTTTATTTTTAAATTATTTTATTACTTATTAAATCATTAAAAAATTATAAATATTCTAAAATATTTACAAATGCTTCTATGGGAATCAATCTAAAAATTGTTATAACAAAGAGAGAATTTGATAAATGAGCTACAAATTCAATACGTTTAAATTTTTAAATATTTTTTTAGTACTAGCGACATGCACCCAGCACTGCTCGAATTTTTGAGGGAGTGTGGAATTGAGAGAGGGCAATAAGAACAACGGTCTTAGTAACTAAAATGTGCACTTATTGACTTGAGTATTTATAATAATGAAACTGCAAAAAACAGAAAATTGCTCAAATTTAAGTTAAAAAAGGACAGTAGGGGATAGGGATCCAACAGTATTTTTTCTAGGACATCGAAGAATATTGTGCCAAATTCTGTGCAGATACATTAAATAGTATAGAATCCTTTGCATAACATATATATTGCGCTGTAAGTATAATTTATTCAATACATTAACACTAATTGTCAAATTTGACATTCACACCAGCTTTCTAATTCAATGCCAACTCTGATCCCGACAGAGCATGGGTACGTGCCTTGCCCACTTGTCTATCTCCTTATGTAGCTTGGTGTCAATTCTAGGATCTAAGTAATACTTGTACAAACTTTGGTCCAGATGGTATAAGAATAAAGATTTGTATAAAGGACAAACCAACAAAAATCCTTTTTTATGTATATAGATAAGTAGATATTCCAATTAAATACTTCACAAATAGGCACCCACGATTGCCATAAATAATTGGGAACTGGCAACGTGTTTGCACGGTAAGCGGGAGTTGCAGGTTCGAGTCCCGCTTCGGGCCGATTCTTTTCTTCCAGTTTATTCTAAATTAATTAATTACATATTGTAATTATTAAATTTAATACTAGACGGCATCTAATTCCAGTGTCTTGTTGTCTACTATCTCTAGAAAGCATTCATTACAGTGCAACAATAAGTAATCAGCAGGAGACCCGTAACAGCTGTACACTAAACTGGTTTTAACTTGGTGAATGGATACTGTATAAGCAAGCACTGAGTAACTAAATGCTTTCCCCCATTCTTGGAAAATACTTATCAACATACTTGATGTTATGCACATACGTATCACAAGTGTGTTCATTCAAATGATCCGCATTTTGTAGAGAGATGAATTACACTATCTTTCTGCATGTCGACTAGACATGCAGAAATATATTGCATTTGCATTTTGAAATATGATAAAATGCATGTGCATTTTACCATATTTCAAAATGCAAATGCAATATATTTCAAGGTGGTCTTTCAAGAAGAATTTTAAATTATTTCATGTATAAATTACACAGGAAATTTAGATTATTAATAAAAGAAAAGATAGCGTAATTATTTTATCAAAATTTGATATTATTTAATTGAAAATAATTGTTTCAAAGGCTTGATAAAATATAAGGATTTCTTTAGGTGGAATACGGCTCTCAGCAAAATAATTAAAGAAATTGACGACAGAGATAACAAATTTTAAACAAATGTAAGTAAAAGTAAAAAATGGCTCCAGGCTAACGAAATCACCTTTACCAAAGCAGATAAAAGTAGAAACATTCTTATAAAGAAACATACATACATTAAGCTGCTCAAAGAATACATCAGTTCTACAGAATGCCAAAAAATAGATGGAAGGATTTTTAGACAAACTCCATAATAGAGTTACTAGATTTACCAGTTCACCGTTAGCTAAACACATACAACTAGGAAATGCTACGATGCAATCACCTGAGATACCGAGGCAATTCAGACAAAATATTGCTCTTACAGATCAAGAATTTATTACAGTTCTAGATTTTGAAGCTATGTATCCATCCATTAAATTGGAACCATGCTTCTGTGCCCTTAGAGATTTCCTCTTCCAAGCCTTTACACCCAAGCCTAAACACCACAAGCAGGTTTTAGAACTAGCCCATCTAATGTGCTACACCTCCTTTTTCACCTTCAACCAACAAATCTATTTTCAAAAAAGAGTGGTTCCAATGGGCAGCCCCGTATCTGGAGACCGCTGTGTATTGGTTGTTAGAAAATTAGATAGCCAAGTCCTAGAATCCTTCAACACAGAAATCATTCTTTACACGTGCTATGTCGATGATATTCTTATTATTTGGAGATCCAAGCCAGATATAAACAGAGTACTGCAGATTGTGAATAACAACCCATTTGGGCTTAAGTTAAAGTTAGACCAACAGGATGATAAGATGGACCATTTCCTTAACCTCAATATATTCCTGAATCATGGTTGTATAGCCACAAAGGTATTCCATAAGCCCACCCTTTAATCTTTCCTCATCTCCTTAACCTCGAATGACCGGTTAACTTATAAAATATCTGCTTTCAGGGCTCTAATCTGTAGAGCTTTTACCCATTGTTCTAGCATTAAGGTCGCACTACAAGAAATCCAACACATCAAACACATTGCCTTAGCCCACAGTTACAATGGTAAATTATTAGATAGGCTTGCTAAAAAAATACATAGTTGCTTAGAAACCGAAGCGATTAATTCCAGACCTCTAAAACAGCAAGGTAAGTGCATTGTAGTTGATTTTGACCCTAGAATGAGTCAAG